TTCAAATAGGCACTCCTTGAGCACCTCTAGGACACAGATCTTGTCTTGCTCTCCAGCTCAGCTTCTTCCCTGACTCCTTTGTAATAATCACTACTGTTTGTAATTATTGCATTTATTTGAATGTTTTTGTTTGTCCCTCATTCCCCACCCCTCAATTAAGACAAAGGTGCTGTGAGGACAGAAAATATATCTGTCTTGATCTTTGTGCTTTTCTTCAGTGTCCAGTGTTAAGTGCATAACAGGATTCTGAGTCTACAATGATGAGGATGGCCCTCAAATAATACTACTGATCTGTGGGGCCTCCTGGAAGCCAGTGAGGCTCCCTGGAATATTATGAGAGAATCCATATCAATGCTCAGTGGCTATTTTAACTGGCAAAATGGTTGCACACACTTTCCTCTTACCTGACCCTTGTGTCCCAGGAGTTTTTCAAGTGAGATCTATAAATATATCCTGATTCGGATCATCTCCTTATGTTCGTTGTCCTTCTCCTTCATTTGATTTTGACCATTGTGAGTGAGAGATTCCGACTTGGTCATCTTTGTGTTCCCACCCTATTCTAGCACCCGGCACTGAATCTCACACATAGAGGGGCTCCATAAATATTTGTTGACTTGAATGGAGTTGACTTTATCTTTATGGCATGTAGATATTTTGACCAAGATTTCACCCTGGGCGGTAGCTTTTATGATTATCCAGAGATTTGAGGCATGGGGGATTGTGAGCACATCATGAAAGTTAAATTTGTTGGTCTAGGCAACTGCACCATAATGCAAATGCAGATGGTATCTACAGCTGGATTGCACAGAAGCACAAAACAAGTAAATTTCTGTTTGGAGGCAAATAATGAAACTGTGAGGAGTCTGAAAACAACTCAGTCACCTACCTCATAGCACAGGTGCGGGTCCAAAAAAGGATTCATGGTGGGGCTGCTTGAGCTTTGCTCTGGCTGAGTCAGTTCTTTCTAAATTATTATTTGATAGTTATTAATAAATCAAAGCAAACCATCCACCTACTGTTTTCCCTTCATAGTTCGTATGTTCACCAAGTTGATGTGTATGTTCTAAGGTACTTTTTTTCCCTAAGCTTAAATTACTTGAGACTAGTTAGAGGAGTGGACATTTTTTTTTCTTTCTTCTGCTTTATTTTACTTCCTTAAGGAATCATCTTGGTTTTTCACTTTTCCTTTCCTCATTTTACGTAGATTATGTGTTGGTGGGAAATGGAGAGGCCTCTTATCTGGGAAGGTATTCATATTGTCATGGAGAGAAATGCACGTGCTTGCCCGCGCGCGCGCGCGCGCACACACACACACACACTCATAAACCCACACAAATGAAATCCCCTCTTCAGAGAAGCCAGCTACAGGAAATTGACTTATGCACAGGAACTTGCTAATCTCTATTGTCACATTCGGATTGTTCCTGCCACCTCAGTCACCGCGCACACTAAACCCTACCATCTTGGGTTGGAATCTCTGCCAGCTCAACTCTCATATTTTTGGTTCTTCCAATGTAAATCAGTTATATTCTTGGCGAGAAAGGAAAAGTTGATCCCAGTGGAAATTATAACAGCACTCAGGCAGCTTTTGCTTTTACTTACCTGCACCGAACAAATTAACTTCCGGAGTCAGTCATTTTGGTGTCAAGAAATTTCTTCGCATTCTACAACAGGTAAGACTTTTGCTCCTTTAAAAATATTTCCTCAGTGTCAAAAGAAATCTATCCAATTTATTTAGCTTTACTGTAGGCTAAATGCAGTAATTATCTTTTTCTATAGTTGTAAAGTACGGAGCCATATTATGGGGGAACGGGGACTTGCCTTGGTATCCAAGCCCCCGCACCCCTGCCCATCATCCTAACAAAATGCATATCAACTTTGAAACATTACAAGTTATAATAATTGGGGATTTTTTTGGTTTTTTAGATATTCTAGAGAATTTGTGATTGACTATGACTGAGTTCAAATATTTGGGTAGTTGAAATATCACCCTATGTTTGATAAGTAAAAATCCTCTCAGTTATATAAATAAGAGTTTTAAATTTTCTAAGTTAGAAAAGAAAACAACCAAAATCCAGATAATGTGGATTTGGATCTAGAATTTCTAGCTTGTCTGTTTCACCTATTGTCAATGCTCGAGTCCTCTTACTACAAGTGGTATATGAAGCATAAGTATTTATTTTTAAATTGAATTGAATTGAATCAAATTAAATTTAGTTTTTGAGGTGGTTTGATTTGGGGACATGCTGTGAGGCACCATCAATAGCCTGGGTTATAACTAAATAAAGGCAGAGAAATCACTAGTTTAAGGTGCTTCACTAAATTAAAGTTGCCATTGAAATATTCAAGCAAACAACAAATAGTCAATAATCACTTTTTGATTCCAAGCTGGTGCTCTGGAGGATATAAGAAAAATATATGGAATTCTCTACCCAAAGAAACTTATAATCAAGTAGTTGTGGCAAGAAGTAAAATTCAGGAAGAGGTAAAATTCAGAGGGGAATGGAGTGATGACTGGGGTGACATGGGTGGTAAGATATAAGAATTCCTAGAAAGGGGGTTTGAGGGTAAGCAAGAATGGTCTGGGAGACACGGCCTTGGAAAGACATGAGATTTGAGTAGATGGAGAATCGGGAGATTAATTCGCCCGGGAAGATTGTGTGGGCAAAGACACAGAGGTAAGACTGACGAGATGAGCAGTCCAGTTGAGGAGACTGGCCTTCAAAAGAGGAAAGTTTGTTTTCCACATTGGCAGGAAATAAGCTTGGAAAATTTCGGTGTACATAGGTTATAGAGGACCTTGAGAGGCTGCTGAGCAGAACTGACTCCGTTCAATAGTTTTCTAGTCTTCTTACACCATCAGGCTCCTCTTTTGAGCTTTCATAGCACTCGCAGAATTCCAGGTGAATGGGAGCCCAAAGATCCCTGCCTCTTCATTTTGGGACTACTTTATATCTTCCTCTTGCCTTCCCTTTACTGTCTTCCTTTACTATACCATTTATGCCGAGAAAGGTTTGTTGACTCAGGGATCCTGTAAGACCTCCATTTCTGGTTACTACAGACCAATCACCCAGTATTAAAGTGGCCTTCCTCTTGGGTGAATGATTTGGTTGACCAAGCAAGCCTCTAGTCTTCAAAAGCCAGTCCAAAAACTCCATAAAATATGTATTACTTCCTTTGCATGTCTGAATGAGATGCTATGGATCTGCTTGTGCTTTTTTCCTAATGATTTGGAGCACTTTTTTTTTCTTCCGAACTGTGAAGTATTTGCATCCATAAAATAACAAAACTACAGTGTGGTGCATAAGAATCCAGTCTTTGGAGCCAAATTACCTTGTGGCGAACCTGGGGCTATTGCTTCTGAGCTATGGGAACCTAGGACACATTATTTCACTTCTTCAATCCTCAGATTAAAAACAAAAATCTGTAAAGTAGCTCTAATAACTGAAAATACCTATGTCAGAGTTGTTGTAAGGATAAAAATGAGATATAAATATGTACAGCATTTAGCCTAGTGCCTGGCATAAAATAAACTCCGAAGAAATGTAGCTATTACGATAGTTATGAAGACTTGGCTAGGGACACAAGAGTGAAGATGATATGTTGTCTGGTTGGGAACAAGATAACTATAAAGTAACTCTTTTCATGCCAATGTTGCTTTCAAAGGAGAATGGAGCTGATGGGTGAAGGCTGGAAATTAACATTTTTTGAGCATCAAGTATAAAATAAGCATGGGGTAGAATGTTTTATAGGAACAATGTATATGAAAAGAAGAAAACAAGATTAGAAACTGAGTTTTAAAAAAACTTTTAATGTTTTTACTTATTTTTGAGAGACAGAGAGAGATGGAGTGTGAGCAGAGGGGAGGGGCAGAGAGAGAGGGAAACACAGAATCTGAAGCAGGCTTCAGGATCTGAGCTATCAGCACAGAACCTGAAGTAGGACTTGAACCCACGTACCGTGAGATCATGACCTGAGCTGAAGTCGGATACCTAACCAACTGAGCCACCCAGGTGCCCCAGAAACTGATTTTTTAAGTCATTCCATATCTGATTGTCAGACTTTATAAGACAGCTCTCTGAGTGACTGCTGTGTTATTTGTGGGCATCTGTGGCTGATGTTGCTCCCTGAATGCTTTGAGTGGAATTTTAGAGGTGTTTGGCCTTAGAGGCGGAGGGTGACTCTTCTTCCTTGGCCAGCTTAAATTAAATTATTTAATTTTATTGTATTCTAATTTTAGTGCTAACAAGGCATAGCCAAGAAACCATTTCCATTCAAGAGCTGTGACCATTTTGACGAGGAGTACCCAAAGTACTTACCTGGGTTCTAGATGCTTGAGTCTGGGTAAAAGCTAAGATTGAAAAGTGTCCTGGTTTCTTGTTCCACTCTCCAGACTTAAGATTTTTGGGGGGTTAGGAAGCCTCCTTTTAAAAAATGCAAATATGGTCAATATGTTCATTATGCAGGGATTTCTCAGTTATACGTGCAGATTACTTGGTCAAATAGTATTGTTTCCCTTTTAGAGCCCCACTAATAACAAAAGGGAGGAAGATCTGTGGCTTTGTGTATGCAAAGGGGTGGGCCCAAGTCAAGATGGGGTGCCAAAGGGGAGTATGACAGTGGGGGGTGCTGGGGTGGGCAGTGCAAAGGAGGGCGTCTGAGATGGAAAGGGTGAGTACAAGCAGGTGGGTGGGTGTCAGAAACAAAGGCTTCTCCTTTGACTTTTTAGTCATTTGACTCAAACAGCTGCTTGAAGCCCCAAGCAACCTCTTGGGTATTTTGCTTAAGAAGATGTACTGTTCCCTGGATGTGGACAGTTGTTCAGAGATGATGTGATTTGTTTGGTTCTGGCCTGGAATTGTAGTTCCTAAAGCTGGCTGGACATCAAAACCAGTTGGGGAGTTTTTTAAACACTAGCACTTCCCATGTATCACATTGCAGCCCTGAGATTTGGACCAGGAATCTGTGTGATAATCAATATAAACCCTTTTCCCCAAGTGACCTGGAGGCAGTTCACTTATAGGTGAATATCTGAGAGGCATTAATCCATAACTCTTCCACCGGGGCACCAGGCACCAAGATGGTAAGTTACATAAGTGCTGAAATGGGGCAAAATGACCTTCCCTCTGCTGTGATTAATCTCGACACAAGTGTTTTCTGTTGTTTTGAATTTATTTCTTAAGAGAATCCCTGGGGATGGGATGAGTGTTGTTAAAGGTCTGAGTATGTTTACAGCATTCATCAAAATATTTACATTTAACGCTCAAGTGATAGGGTGCCACTTTCAAAATTCTATAGTGTTATATACACGTAGAGGCTGTTCATTATTACTCAGGGAAAGCCCCAAAAAAGGAATTTGCTTTCAAGGGAGAAAGTACCAAATCATTCTTCCATTTCTCTTTTCCAGTAAAACAATACTAATGAATTACTTTTGGAAGAAAATTTCGAAGTATTACAGAGCGCACAATTGCTTCTTAGAGCATAAATTGGAGTCTTCTTATCGCTACACTTAGTTCCTTGTAAAACTGTAGTCAGCAATGACCTCTTCCCCATTTCGTAGAAAAGAAAACCAAGGAAGAGAGTGGTTAAGTAACATGCAGTATGGTTCTCATCACATTTGCCATGAGAACTGTGTATCGTCATCCACTCAGTCATTGTTTGAGGTAATAAATAATTGAGTAGTTGCTATAGGTGACCCCATGAAAAAACACTGGTAAATGAGCACATAGAGGAATATTGTTCAAATTGGGGAAGACTGGGTGGAATTAATTGACCCAGATAGACCTCCTGCTCTATTTTTTTTTTTTTACATTATGCTTTATTCATCATATATTTGCATAACTTGCTAACTTAAATGCATGGTTATTGTTTGTGACAACAGATGGGAATAGGGTGAATTTTCAATGGCTTCAGTGAAAAAAAAAAGCCACGCTCTTACAAAATATCAAGTGAGATATTTGTAGCTGTGTGCGAGAGCCTGCCTGCACTTGTTTGCAAGAGCTGACTGTAAGATTTCCAGAAATTTTGCAAGCCAGTTGTTGAATTCTATAACTCACAGTTAAATACGTTATCTTAAAAATAAAGGTAATAAATATTCAGAACTCATTACTTCCTTTTTATTTACTACATTTTACTAATTATTTATGCTCTTGAACTCATTTCAATTTATCTGTATGATGGAAACATTATATAATAGTGTGCTACTGAGCACACCTCTTTCCAACTCTGCATTCAAGTTCGTGACTTGAAACTGGCCATGGTAGAAATATTTACACCATGGAAATTGGCAAACACCATAAATCAATCTCCCCACACTTTTTTTGAGGAAAGGCTCTTAAATATTTTATCCTCATGCTCTGCTCTCACAGAGCTGTGTAAAATACAAATATGGCAATGTGGGAATGTGTCAAGAGCCATTAAAATGCACATACACTTTGATCCCTCAATTCTATCCCTGGGAATTTATTCTAAATAAATAATTCTAAGAAGGAATATATAACATGCAGGAACACATTCGCTGTATTATCATTTATAACAGAGGAACCAGAAAATAACCCAACTAAGCAATAATGGTTCTGGTAGTGTAAAGGCCATGGAATAGTTTGTAGTCATTACAGTTAATACTTACGGTAGTTATATGAAAATATATTTGGTATTGTGTCAAATTAGAAAATCAGGATTAGAACAAAACAGGAAGAAAAATTTCACATTCTGATTTTGTTATGAATGAAGATTAAATGTGAGTACAAAACAATGCAAGCATTTGGGGGGTTAGTATGGTGAAATGATAGAATTTTGTTTTTACTTTATTTATTGGAGTAGTGGTGTGTGCATTTTAAAAATGTTGAGAAAGCCTTAAATGAGTGAACTTAAGTAGTTTTAACATTTAAACAGAAGAATGAGCAGTTTTGTGGACCAGATGAGGTTTGCCTTTGACATGCAGATGTGTACTATGACTCTCTGGGCAGGGTATTATTAAGGGAGTTTGGACGCAGGCGGTCTGGAGTGGTAGTTTTTGGCGGTCTGGGGGGTTTCTTTGCTTTATTATTATTAAAAATTTTTTTTAATTTTTTTTAAAAATTGATTTTTGAGAGAGAGCGAGCAGGGGACGGACAGAGAGAGGGAGACACAGAATCTGAGGCAGGCTCCAGGCTCTGAGCTGTCAGCACAGGGCCTGAGGCAGGGCTCGCATTCATGAACTCAGGAACTGTGAGATCATGACCTGAGCTGAAATCAGACGCTTAACTGACCGAGCACCCAGGCGTCGCTAAGGGGGTTTCTTTAGGGCAGCTCAGAAAGGAGGAAGAAATGACTGGTTGGGTACTGAAGATTTGCTAACATAGACTACAGAGGCTGAGAAATAACCCAGAGGAAAAACACCCAACTGGCAAAGGCCAGAGAAAGAGGAGAGGGCATTTCTTAGGAAAAGACAGGGAGAAGCTGTTCTCTGAGATGAGCATGATGGATGTGAAAACAGTTCTATTTAGATCTAAAAACAAGGGAGCTCAAGTCAGAGAGGAAATGATTCTTGTAAATCATGGGTTCTCAAGTTTTAGTGCATTTATGGGTCACTTGGATGGATGGGGGGGATCATGTTAAAAAATGCAGCCTCCTAGGTTTCACCTCCATGGATTCTGATTCAGTTGGTCTGGGGTTGGCAGGAATATGCATTTTTAACAAGTCTTACGATGCCATAAAGTTTCTGATATGAATGGTCTGCAGATCCAGATTAAAGGTAACAGTGTGGATTGGCTGAGGGAATGTACATCAACGTGTGCATGTGTGTGTGTGTGTGTTTGGGGGGTGAGGCTATTTCCTTGAGACTTAGGATCTAAGGGCTTATGACGTAAAGGAGATGACAACAGAAAAAGCCCAGAAGGGACAAGTTATTGTATTGAGTCTGTAGAAACAAACTGAAAACGGGAGACTGTACTTATGTTACTCCTGAAAGAAATACAGTTTGTACCACCAAATTCCCTTCCACCGCGAAATGACTTTTGTCAAGCATTTGGACCCACTGGAAACAGCTGTGAACGAGGGAACTACAAGCAGGTGGCACAGAGAGGAATGGTCATAGGGAGATCTAGGACCCACAGACTTTCTAGTTCAGACCACTGGAAGGTGGTAACTAAGACTAAATGTGTGTAGAATAAGTGGGACTATGTCCAGAAAATATTTTGGGCCTCAGTGTATGATAACATTCCATTAAAGAAGTAAAGAAAGTCTAATTTTTGATGCAGTGTAGTACTCTAAATATCACTCAAAGTAGTAATAACACTTACATGTGTGTCTAAGGACTTTATCACTCAAAATAGTAATAACACTTAGACATGTGTCATAACAACAACACATCACAAAATAAACATATTGAAAGTAAATGACATTGCAAGGGCAGGAGCCATGCTACTGAGATTATCTGCTTCACCTGGCTTCAGAAGAGCCTTAGTGATTGTAGTAAGCTTTCAAATAGCCTTTCATATCTTGAGCTCTTCCAACTTAAAAAAATTTTTAAAAATGTTTATTTATATTTGAGAGAGAGAGAGAGAGACAGAGACAGAGAGACAGAGCATGAGTGAGGGAGGGGCAGAGAGAGAGAGGGAGACACAGAATCTGAAATAGTCTACAGGCTCTGAGCTGTCAACATAGAGCCCGACTTGGGGCTCAAACTTGGGAATGGTGAGATCATGACCCTGAGCTGGACGAAGTCAGATGCTTAACCTGCTGAGCAACCCAGGCACCCGTGAGTTCTTCTAACTTTATACTGAAGATGATTCTTCTACTTTAAAAATGTTTCACATTCCCTATCACCAGGCTCACTATTCTCTTGGGACATGGCCAGTTAAACCAAGAATAAATCGCAACTCTTCTTAGCACTGCAGGCACAACTCAGGGTCCATTGGATGTGTAAGAGTGCACCTGCCAGCTACCCTATTCCTCACTTAACAGGGTTTTTTTTTCATGGACTGATTGGCTTACACTTCAGAGTTTCCTCATCACTTTTTTGCTCAGATATTCCTTTGAGAATCTGTTGAGAACCAAAATCCTTGAGGAAAAAAGCACAGGAATACAAGAATGTGTATATTTGCCATACAATTTAGGAGATTTGGGGGCCCTCGAAAACCCATCCAAGGCCCCCTAGTAGTCCAGAATCCTCATATTAAGAACTCCTGGGAGCACCTGGGTGGCTCAGTTGGTTGGGCGTCCAACTTCAGCTCAGGTCATGATCTCATGGCCTGTGAGTTTGGGCCCCACGTCGGACTCTGTGCTGAAAGCTCGGAGCCTGGTGCCTACTTCTGATTCTGTACCTCCCTCTCTCTCTGCCTCTCCCCTGCTCAAACTCTGTTTCTCTCTCAAAAATAAATAAACATTAAAAAAAAAAGAAGAAGAAGAACTCCTCTGAGGCTGTCAGTATAGCAGAGGAGGCCTTGCAGAGGTTGATAAAGTTCTGATTATTGCTGATGCTGGATTTAGCTGCCAAAGAGAAATGCTGACTCTCCAGTTGATGGATTAAATGAGGGCAAGATGACAGATGCGCGTGTAGTTTCATAGTATTGGATCCTCAGCTTGAGTAAACGTGTACAGTGGCTGGAGAGTGTGTATGACTCATGTTCTAAGCCCTTAATTCTGCATTCTCTTAAGCGAAGCCAGAGTTAGTTCCCATCTGGGAAAGCAGTCTCTCAAAATTCTACTTTAATGCTTATTTATAGTCATGTGCTTCCTTTCACGATACAAGAAATGCAGGCCGGTTGTAAATACTGAGCATGGTGACTGGTGTGGGGCCGACTGACGCCCCCTCAGTGAATACTGGATGCGCAGTCAGGCTGCTTTTTGGGGCGAACGGCCGTAGCCAGTGTGTAACGTGCTACAAAACGTAGGTTTTCCTATCTGAAGCTGAACATCTGTTTGGGCCCTGATGACTTCGGAGATAAGTCCTTTTCCTGTGCAGCCTTAAACCACGATAGCCCAGTTGGCCGTCTTTTGTTAGTGGGTACTTCACTTGCAATTTGGGGAACTGGGTGTTTTTGGAGGAAAGGTCATGGCGTTGTTAATCTCTTGTCTGCTTGGACTGTGATAAGGGCTCAGGCAGGGTCTGGAGATCTACCCGAAACCCAACTCTTTAAATTAGCCAACTCTGAAAGTGATAAGACCATGTTATTGTGTCATATTCATAGAGTGGGCAGATACAGGATGGGGAGCGAAAACGCACCCCATCTTCAGCCCTCCAGGGGAAAAGTATGTGCAATTGGCTAGATTAATTGTGAAATAGGAGTCAGACTTCTCTTGGTCTAGCACAGCGTAAGGATTGTTCATCTCCTTCCAGGTAGAAAAAGAATATCTATGACAAATATATTCAAGTAGTTAGTGCAATTCGACTTCTACAACCAGTTTTAATGTTGTACACCCTTGACCCTTCCAATGTCAATTCAATGTATTCAATGTAATCAATTTATTGTAATGTAGTACATTTAATGCATTTTAATAATAATACTGCATCATGGAATTCTCAGTTACAGCCCACAAAACAGAAATAGTCACGTACGCCAAAGGCCGATAGCGAACCCTCTATCTCGCCTGTCTCTTGGAGGCTGCTCTCCCTGCTGTGTCCTTATGCCTAGCAATCTAGTTGCTGATGCAGGGAACTGACTGGCACGTATGTCTTCCTTGATGCTTTTGCTTTCTTTCAGAGGATCCATTCTTTGCGGCAGGACCCTTGCTTTTCCTTTGCTTTCCCATTGGTATTTGAGCTGTCACCTTCTTAAGCCCTCTTGAACACATAAATCCCAACGTGAACCTTCTTCTCAGCCACAAAATGGCTTTGTTCCAACTGAAAGTGATCTCAACTATGATCGAGAAGTGCAACAATGCCTGCGATTGTTCCTTCTAACAAGGAAAAGGAAAGCCATATATTTGAATTCAAATTTAAATGATATAAAACTTTGCCATCAACTATAAGAAACTTTAAAGGATTTAGAAACCCTGTTGGTATACTTCTTTTGTATAAAACCTGATTTTCGTTAAGCTCCAATGTCTTTGGCCAGTAACTTGCCGAAATTTGTATCTCTCTTCCTCTGCTTGTGATAAGGGAGCACAAGAGGGTGTTGGACGTACATACAGGAAATAGGAGGGGAAAAGGCAGAAAAATCTTACATGTTGACAGTACCACAATTTCCTACATCTGCTAGAATAATATTGTCACTATATTCCTATATGCAGAATATCTGGTAATATCAGAGAAATATCTGTAGTAATGTGGACTTTAAAAAAATATAATGGCAATAATGTTCATTGTAGCAAATGTGGCATATAACTTTTAATTTAAATATATGTGTATATATTTTATTTGTCAGAATTTAATTAAGTTTTTACATTTAAAAAAAGCCATCATGCTAGTGCTTTCCCTCCAAAATGTGCAAAATATGTAGAAAGAAGCTCAAAAGTAAGCATTGCTTCCTACTGGAATAGGAATACAGCTGATGCTTAAATGGATCACTTGAATTAATGAAGGGCAAGTAACTAGGGTCTCTTTGCTGAGTCCTATAGCTATCTTTTCTTTGTTTCCATCCTCTATGTCTCAGGAAAAGCAATTTTAAAATGTGAATGATGGCAATGTTTCTATTAAATTCTAGAGCCATAAGAACACATGGATAGTTTTTGCATGACGGCGGAGGAGTTCTATGTAAAACTTGGACCAAAAGTTCAAAACCCAAACCAGTAGTTTTGGATTTCCCCAAGGGCTACCCATTTGACATGACATCCAGGAAAGACCCAACACATATATATACGGAAGGAAAAATAAAAGTTTCTCTTCCAACAGGGGCTAGACTCCAGTGGCTTTAGGTTTAGAAACTAGATTGTGCAATTGTATTCATAAGACAAAAATCACCAGCACTTTCGGCTTTAGCTTATGCTCAATTTTGTGTTCGAACTGTGGCCAGCCAAACTTATGAACTTATTTTATTTTAATTTTTCAAAGTTATATTATTTTCAAGTTTCCTCTGGTTAGCTAGTCCTTTCTTTGGATTACTGAAATGATCATATTTAAAAATTTTTCTTACGTTCATTCATGCTATTTGGAATTTAAATGTTACTGCTCCTTCCTTTATATATTTGGTCATGACTGGTTTTATGCCTCAACAGGTATATATGCATTATTTTATCTGCTAATCATAATTCTTTTCCTTTCTTTTGCCAGTTTTGAGAATGCATAACAATTCTTTAATACTTGATCTTTAACAAATAAATTACTAAGGTAAAACGCAGGATAAATAACAAAAACAAATTTAGTTGCCTTTACAAACTCTTTCTGAGTTTGATCAGGAACTTTTAAAGTATTATCAAGTTTTCTCTTTTCCTATAAAATATTGGCCAAAATACAATTTACAAACAATATCACTAGCCGGTCAGGGAAAAAGAGTAGAATGACCTTTCTTCTCACTACTTAGGAGGCTCTGTTCCAAATTATTATTTTGAGTTATTTTAGATGGCTATAGAAAGGCCGTTTTTCAGAAAAATGGCAAGTAACTGGGCAGTAGGAATGAATAGCTTCAAAATGTTTATAGCCTTTTACCTCTTCTAAGAATTATTCCTGGGGCACCTGGGTGGCTCAGTCGGCTAGGTGGCTGAGGTCATAACCTCACAGTTCAAGGGTTCGAGCCCCACTTCAGGCTCTGTGCTGACATTTCAGAGCCTGGAGCCTGCTTCGGATTCTGTGTCTTCCTCTTTCTCTGACCCTCCTTCACTCACACTCTGTCTCTCTCTCTCAAAAATAAATAAACATTAAAAAAAAATTAAGAAAAGAATTATTCCTAAGAAAACAATAAGTCTTTTATTATAAAATGAAAGCTTTTTAACATAAAGTTTTTTTATAATAGAGAAACCTAAAAATCAGTTTAAATGTCCAACAGAAATACATTATATTTAAGCCTATTTAATAGTTATTAAAATATTTTTTTAAAGTTTATTTGTTTTGAGAGAGAGAGTATGCATGTGGGTGGGGGAGGGATAGAGACAGAAGGAGAGCGATAATCCCAAGCAGGCTCTGTACTGTCACTGCAGAGCTTAATGAAGGGGTTGATCTTACAAACTATGAGATCAATACCTGAGCCAAAATCAAGAATTGGACACTTAACTGACTGAGTACCCAAACACCCCTAAAATATTTTTGGAAGAATAATGACAAGTAAAAAATTAGAGGATATAGTAAAAATTTTTGTTTAAAAAGGCCTATATATAGTTTTTATACATGAATTCAGAATGTGAAACTAAGCCGGCATGTTAAAAATTGTCATCTAGTGTATGGTAAGAGTGCATATAATTTTAAAATGTTTTTCATTTTTCTTGTAGTTTCTATAATTAGTACGTATTAGTTTTATAAGAAAAGGTCCAAATTCCTTATTAAAATAAAGTCAATTTATGGTGTTATGTTAATAATGAAACTAGTAAAATGATTTTGATATGAGGATTACTTTGACATTTTGAAGAGAACCCAATACTTTGAGAGCCCTAAGCCTATAATTAAGTTTTATCTTTTAAGATTCAGAGGATCTTTAGATTTAGAGGGATCTGAAGTCTCATATTTTGAAACTTGATAAGCCATAGAAAATCACTTTTAATGAGAGATCTTGGAGTTATTAAATAGGCTTGTGGGTGGCTTATGTTTTTAAAATAAGAGAGAATTAACTTTAGCTAGAATAAGAGCTTAAGCAACGTATAAAACATTTAATTGATGAATACAGATGACTATTTAAAAATTTGTATGTGAAAAGATTCCCAAAGGTATCCGTTAAGAAGCACATTTTCCTAATGCATCTAAATATTTAATTTAGAAATAATTGACTTTTAAATATTTTGAAAGGCATACCTACTAGGCAAATCATAGATGTATTCATTCTGGTATGATGTAAGAAAGTTACGTTGTTGCCTTCCATGGCCATTTTTTACACGATAATATATCTAAAAGTTTATTAGTTTTAAATGCCAAATATTACTTGGAATATTTTTAAATTATTTTAAATTTGATTAATTTAGCAAAGAAAGAATTTTCCTTTTAAACTTGAGCAAGTTTGTTTGATTTGTAATCTTCTTGATTACATTGTTTGCTTGTTTTTGCCTGTGACTGTGTGGCTTTGGTTTAACAATAACTCAAGGTCTTGTGAGGACAGCTACTGTCCGTGAGGCGTGTCAGTTAGTAATGATTTCAGCTGCAAGTTATACGATACCTGACTAACAGTGACTGAAAAACAATCCCGATTAATTTCTCCTGTATAACAAGAAGTCTAAATGTCTCTCTCTCTGTCACGGGCTTAATGGCTCAGTGGCTCCGTGTTGCTCTCTCTGCAGTTCTCGTCTCTTCCATTGTGGGTACGAGATCGTTGCTGCAGCTTTGAGCCCTGTGTATTCATACATCCATGAGAGGTGTAGGGCTGGGTGGAGACGGAAGGAAGCTAACTTGGCATTGGCTGTCTCTTGTTCTAGGAGAGCAAGAAGGTCTTCAGGGACCTCTCAAACAGGTATCCTTCTGTATTATTACCACAACCGGGTTACATAACCAGCCCAGCTTCGAGGCAGGTAGAGAAACAGGAAATAGAATTGTTATCACTGCCTTAGACCATGCATCATAATGGGGAGGGAGAGACAGGACAGGGTGGGTATGGGGTAAGGGTGGGGTAGGGTAGCGCTTATGATATCATTCCTAAGGTAGAAGATAATAGCTTTTTGGTGGAAAGAAGAGGCAGAGAAAAATCTTAACTCTTTTTATGTAAAAAGATATATAGATACATACCAATATACATATAATACACAAACAGACATATATATGGTATTAAAATTTCATGGGTGAGGCAATTAGGAAAAAAGTGTCTAAAAATGCTCTGGGGGATGATCATGAAAAAAAGGTTGAGAAATACTGGCCTAGACCAAACATGATCCATTCCTGAGGCTCTGCACGTAGTCTTACAAACAAAATTGGATTCTATTACTAATGACAAAGAGAGACATAGATATTGAATAGAAAACTAACAATGCCTGCCACAATGTCATAAATTAAATTAACGAACAACTTACACAATCTTGTAATTAAACTGTGAGCTCCTTTTTAAAAAAATATTTAGTATATATATATTTTTTTAATTTTTATTTATTTCTAGGAGAGAGAGAGAGACAGCGTGAGAAGGTGAGGGTCAGAGAGAGAGGGAGTCACAGACTCTGAAACAGGCTCCAGGCTCCGAGCTGGCAGTCAGCACAGAGCCCGACGCGGGGCTCGAACCCACGAACCACGAGATCATGACCCAAGCGAAAGTCGGACGCTTAACCGACTAAGCCACCCAGGCGCCCCTAAAAAAATATTTATGTTGAGAGTGGAGGCCAGAGAGGAAGAGAGAAAATCCCAAGCAGGCTCTGTGCTGTCAGTGCAGGGTCCGACACAGGGCTTGAACTGATGAACTGTGAGATCGTGACCTGAGCTGAAAAAAAGAGTTGGACACTTAACTGACTGAGCCACCTGAGTACCCCTCAACTGTGAATTTCTTAAGAGTAGGAACTGTGTCTTATTCATCTTTGTGTATTAGTACCCTGGGCCTGTAATACACATATTTTGTAGATTGAATGAAACCAAAGATATGTTTTACAGCTGGACCAGTTACCCCCAAACATTAATTTGAACATATCTCCCTACCCATAAGCCTTCATCAGCTTCTAATTCCTTACAGGAAAGAGGTCCGCCTTCTCATTCTCATTTCCTACCACTTTTTCAACTATTATCTGGGATCTCTGCACATTGATCTACTTGGTCCCTAACACATCTTTGGTCTCATCTGTGTTTTTTTGTTTTGTTTTGTTTTTTCCTTTTATTTATTTTCTTAAATAGTTTATTGTCAAGTTGGTTTCCATATGACACCCAGTGCTCATCCCAACAAGGGCCCTCCTCCATGCCCAACACCCCCCTTCCCTCTCCCCCACCCACATCAGCCCTCAGTTTGTTCTCAGCATTTAAGAGTGTCTCATGGTTTGCCTCCTTCCCTCTCCCCAGCTATTTTCCCCCTTCTCCTCCCCCACGGTCCTTGGTTAAGTTTCTCCTAACCCACCTATACGTGCAAACATATGGTATCTGTCCTTTTCTGCCTGACTTATTTCGCTCAGCATAACACCCTCAAGTTCCATCCATGTTGCTACACATGGCCAGATTTCATTCTTTCTCATTGCCATGTAATATTCCACTGTATAGATAATGTGCTTTGTTTAAAAAAATTTTTTTAAACATTTATGCATTCTTGAGAGGAAAACACACAGAGCACAAGTGGGGGAGGGGCGGAGAGAGAGGGAGACACAGAATCCAAAGCAGGCTCCAGGCTCTGAGCTGTCAGCACAGAGCCTGACGCAGGGCTGGAACCCACAAACCATGAGATCATGACCTGAACCAAAGTCAGATGCTTAACTGATTGAACCACCTAGGCGCCCCTCAATCATCTGTGTTTTTGCACATGCGGTTCCTTCCCTTGTTACCCATCAAACTCTTTTTCTCACAAGACCCTATTCAAAGTCTCTACCTCTGAAGTCCTGAGGTGGTTCTACTTGCTTGGAAGGCCTTTCCCTCTCTCTCCAACTTTTTCAAACCCTTCCCTTCACAGCTTCGTCTAAGTCCTGCTTCTTTCCCAGATTCTTGACAGTGCCCCCAGCCCACGTGCACCTCCCTCCTCTTTAAATCCTGTTGTTTTGTTTTGGGTCTGTGTCATTCTGGGGTGTACACCAATGACATAATTCGGTGTACGTGGTGTCTTTACTTGTTGTCTGACTCTAGCACCTGTATTTTGTCTCCACCATAGGCTAAATTCCAAGACAGTTTCCAAGGAAACTCCTACTGTGCCTGGTGCAGTGCTGTGCATCCAGGAAACAGTGAATAAAACGTGGCTGAACAATAGATATAATCAATAAATATCAATAAATAAAATGAGAGCCAATAAGGAGTTGGCAATTCTGTTTTCTCCTGTTCTGAAACCCACTGTGTTTGTGTTTTAACATAAATATACTTAGCATCATCGGGATCTACTCGCAAGAGAAAAATCGAATGGCCTTACTTGGGAACTAGAAGCTCCATGACCATCACATGGAAAAAACCCCACACATGTTTGGAGAACAAATGAGAAAAAAATAGGTGTGCAGGGGATATCTGATACATAATTATACTTATTGGCTAGATGGGTTTTTTTCTTAATAATGTTATTTTGGATGGCACCTGGGTGACTCAGTCGGTTGGACCACCGACGCTTGATTTCCATTCAGGTCATGTTCTCACAGTTTGTGAGATCAAGCCCCTCAGTGGACTCTGTACTGGCAGCGCAGAACCTGCTTGGGGTTCTTTCTCTCTGTTCCTCTCTTTCTGCTGCTCCCCTGCTCATGCTCTCTTTCTCTCTCTCAAAAATAAATACATTTTTAAAAAACGTTATTTTTTAAAGCATATTTATTTATTTTTGAGAGAGAGCCCACACATGTGACCAGGCACACACAAGCAGGGGAGGGTCAGAGATGGGGTGGGTGAAAGAGAGAATCCCAAGCAGGTTCAACACCGTCAACACGGAGCCTGATTTGGGGCTTGAACCCTCAGACTATGAGGTCATGATCTCAGTCAGTTCGATGCTTAACTCCAACTGACTGACCCACCCAGGCGCCCCTGATAAGATGTCTTAATAGGCATCAAGACTTCACCTTTACAAGGGAATATTGACACGTTAGGGAAATGAGTGTGTTGATTTTTTTTTTAAAGTTATATTATTTTATTATAAAAATTTAAATACATCTAAAAGTCTCTATGCCCATCAATCAAATTCAGCTATTGTCAAGATACTGCCACATTTGTTTCATCCTTTTTTCTCTTCTTTGCTAATTTAGTTTAAAGTAAATCCCAGACATCATGTCACTTTCCCCACCAATGCATCTCTAAAATCAAGAGTATTTTCTTACACTACCATGCTGTCACTATCCCACCTAATAAAAATAGTAGTAATCCTTTGGAATTTTCTAAAACCCAATCTATAATTATATTTCCCTGATTGTCTTAAAAATATCTTTTCGGGGCACCTGGGTGGCTCAGTCAATTAAGTGACCGACTTTGGCTCAGGTCATGATCTCGCTGTTAGTGGATTCGAGCCCGGCATCGGATTCTGTGCTGACAGCTCAGAACCTGGAGCCTGCTTTCAATTCTGTGTCCTCCTCTCTCTTTTCCGTTCCCCCTGCTTGCAGTCTGCCTCTCTCTCTCTCAAAAATAAATAAACATTAAGAAAAACTTTAAAAATACCTTTTTACAATTAGTTTATTCAGTATGCAAACAATGTGCATCCATTATATAGGTGTTATGTCTCTGAAGTGTCTTTAATATTCATTATTTTTAGTGACACAAACGCACTGACGAAGAAAGACATTGGTTGATATATTGGGGTAATTCTATTAGGCTGATAGCAAGTTGTTAGATTGCTCTTATGTTAGATTGCTCTTACTGCAAAGAGGTTTTGCAAACAGGGATGTCATAAATGATTGTTTATAAGGTGATCAATTATGATAGTTCTATTGCTTTGTTTATAGTAGATGAAAAAGAAAGAAAATGGAGAGAGATTTTGTCTTTTGGGCTGATTGTTTTTTGTGTGTTGAAGCTGATTCATATGTAAAATGGAGATAATAACATAATAATCCTTACTTCCTGAATTGTGAAGGTCAAATGTAAAGCTAGCTATCTGAGGGAGCTGTGCTTAGCTGTGGAACAGCGTTTCTCCAATCTGACTGTGCTTCTGAGTCATCTAGGGCTTTAAAAATAGTTTCTCTGGTTCTTCCCAGACCTACTGAATAAGAATATCCTCATGAGGGTCCAAGGAAAACATTTAAAACAACCTCTCAGGGTAATTGTGATGATGATCAAACATGGGGATGATTGACCTTACCTCCCTGGACCTTGATTGCTTTATCTATAAATTGTGAATAATGATACTTCCCAGGGCTAATGGTGCTTTACAGTGCTGTGGGCGGATAACAAATGAAGTGAATAAACACCAAATGCTTCTGGGGCACCTGGGTGGCTCAGTCGGTTAAGCGTCTGACTTGGGCTCAGGTCATGATCTCACAGTTAGTGGGTTCAAGCCCCGCATTGGGCTCTGTGCTGACAGCTCAGAGCCTGGAACCTGTTTTACAATCTATGTCTGCCTCTCCCCTGCTCACGCTCTGTCTCTGTGTCACTCTCAAAAATAAAGATTAAAAAACTTTTTTAAAAACCCACCAAATACTTCCTTAACACCTTAGTCATGATCAGTATTATGAATTCAGGTGATGCTCATCCATACATTGGACACTTGACTTCGGGATGGATTAGAATTCCTCAGCACATGCTCCCTGTGTAACACCTAGTGTGATGCCCAGCATATAGTTGGAGTGCGGCACATATTGGAGGAATGAATACATGAATGATATTATTGTGAATTCAGATCAATGACACTTCAGAATACCCATCTACTGACAATATAGAAAACTG